GTGGGCAGCCCCCCGCTCCCTGGGGACACCCCAGCAAGGTGATACCTTGCTCAGGGCGAGCAGGTCCCTGGGTAGCCCAGGGTGGGCTGCGGGCAGGGGGACACTGCAGCGGGGCGGGGGATGCTGCGGGATGGCCAGCATGAGCAGTGGGGCCGGCGTTACATCCGACGCATTAAAGATGCTGCTTTGGGTGGTGGTTGTTGTTTTAATGGTTTTATTGTGCGATGCCGGGGACGGGCCTGGCAGGCCTTAATGAAGGAGATTGATGGCTTAATAGCCAGTAGCCATTACGGGGTAATTGAATGGTTGTGTACATATGATCAGACCGTCAATGCGGACGTGGCTCGCAAGCGAAGCACCTGGAGCCGGCGGGGGACACACACGTGCAACCCCCTCCTCGCACCCCAGACAGATACAGTGCAGGGGTGACAAAGCCCATGGCCTTGGGGACCCCTGTCCGTCCCCGATGTCTGGGCTGTGTAGGTGTCCTGGGGCCACATCCAGCGGTGAGGGGATGGAGCAGGTCTCCAAGGTTCATCCAGTGGCACCAGGTCACTGAAACCCATCTCCGGCCGGCTCAGCTCCCAGCCTGGGCTCTGGAGCACCCAGACCAGGGTGCTTTAATGAGGCTTTTAATTAACAGGTCCCATCTATAGGGATGAACAGCAGTGGGGGAGTGGAGGTGGGAGCCATGGGGGTCTAGCATGGACGGCAGCCCCAAACTGGGGGCTGCTGCGCCGGCCCCCCGGTTCGGCCCGCCTTCCCTGCGAAAGCCGCCACCGAGGAGAAAACCCGGCAGAGTCGCAGCCGGGTCCCCACGCCGAGGTGTGAGTCAAACTACTCATTTTAGTGTGTGACAGCCAGGTGTTTTACAGTATTTGCTACCTGTGATCATCCATCAAAGCAATCGATAGCGTTCCTGCAGAGTTTTATTAATGATCTTGTCACCGGGCTGGTGCTGGGTGCCTGGGGTTGTCGAGAATGATAGATCATTAAGAGCTTTTGCTGCTCTTTATTCTCCAGTGACCTTGTCTTTCTCCATTGTTGCTTGCTTAAGAGTTATGAATGTGAGACATGATAATTTGATATTGATCTATTTGGTAAGTTAAAAAATTTACTGCATCGTTGATGTTTTAACAAAGGATCTGCTCGGTCCCTCCTGCAGACCGATGAGAGCCACTGGTGCTCGGCTCTGCACGCCGCAGCGAAGGGGGCAAGCTGGGCACCGTGCCGGTGCGTCCATGTGCCAGAGCGCTGTGCTTGCCTGGCATGGGACGGTGAGGCGTGGCTGTGTGAGCTCTGTGTGTCCCTGGGGGGCCCCGTCCCAACCCCTCCTGAGCCCGAAGTACCAAAATCCAAGTGCTGGCACTGCCCTGGGAGACGCTGCCGTGGGCACACGGCTGGACCTGTCTGTGCAGGCAGGGTGGGGTGGGATGGAGGGGCTGCAGCGGAGGAAGCCTGTGCCCATCCGTATAGCCTTCCCCTTTCCCGTCCTCTCTTGTCCCCGTCCCATCCCTGCTCCCTCTGCCCAGCGCCACGTGTCTGCCAGCTGTCCCCTCCGTGTCCCCTCCATGTCCTCTCCGTGTTCACTAATTGTCCTCCCAGATGTTCGGGGCTCCACTGACCCCAACAACAGTATTCGATATAATTACTTGTGCTCCCCAGTCCTCTTGCCCTCCCCGGTGCTCCCAGGATCCCACCGGCCGGCAGGGAAATCTGGGGCTCCATGTCACCCCCTTGGCACTGGACAGGACCAGACCAGCATCCCTCTGCCACGCTGCCTCCCCAGTGCACTGTCCCCGCACCGGGGATGGACCCGCTGGTCAGGGAGCTGCAGGGCACGACCGCCATCCCCCCCCCCCCCCAGGGGTTATCGATCCCCCTCGCCCCCTGCCGGCTG